GCTCACCATTTATTGATTAATGTGATCAATAGAATGAGAATTAAAAGTGTTTTGAAATGGATGATGGCTTATAGTTTTCTGCACTGAACCTAACCTGGTACTCGACGTGGAGGTGCTCACTGATAGCAGTTATAAGATATTAAACTTTTATTTCTATATATTCTATGCTTCATGTAAGTAAAGGTTTCTATATGTGGAAAGAGAGAAAAGAAACTGAACTATTCATTTAGCCCCACCTGTGGTGGCATTTGGACAGCACATTAGCAGGGACAACAGAGAGGTAGGACAGTATAGTTACAGTCCATTTCACCACAGCCCACACAGCTTTAGCTTTGATATTGCATGTCTCGTCTTGGTGAACTTTTTTTTTTAGTATTAAATAGTCCATTTTAGGGAACTGATCCTATATGATTTCCTTCTGACATAGGGATTCATGGCTGTATAGGACTACTTCAGTAGGCCCATACTTAAAATTATTTTTACAGTTTACATTTAAAAATGTGTAAAATTAGGTGACATGAATAGCTTTTATTTTTTTCAATCAAATTTTAGTATGTGCTTATAAGTGAGTAGAATATATACAGAATATATGTAAGTGAATATATAAATATACTTAAGATATATGTGCCCTTATATCAGATAAATTACATAATTCTAAAGTTAATTTCATCTACTCCCTGGATCTTCTAAAAGTATATATACACTTCTATAAAATTTAAAACAAATTTGAATACAAACTCCCCAGGGAAGAAAATAACTAAGTGTTCTAAGAAACTATAAAGAGCAGGCTTGGCGCCTATAGCTCAACTGGCTAAGGCGCCAGCCACGTACACCTAAGGTGGCAGGTTTGAATCCCCAGCCCGGACCCGCCAAACAACAATGACGGCTGCAACCAAAAAATGGCCAGGCGTTGTGGCGGGTGCCTGTGGTCCCAGCTACTTGGGAGGTGGAGGCAGGAGACTCGCTTGAGCCCAGGAGTTGGAGGTTGCTGTGAGCTGGGATGCCACAGCACTCTACCCAGGGGGATAGCTTGAGGCTCTGTCTCAAAAAAAAAAAAAAAAAAAAAAAGAAACTATAAAGAACAAACAGGATGAATATGTAATAGTACATATTAAAACTACAGATCCAAGCTACTTAAACTGGTATACACACCAACTTGCCCCTTTAAATTAGAGAAATTTCTTAGAGTAGGACCAGATTGTAGCAAGCATACATCTCTGTAACATATCTAGGGTAATTACTGAAGTCTCTCTCCTTTGCTAAAAGAAAAAAAAAAGTCACCAGCGATGAATTTCATTTGCTTCTGTAACGAACTTTTCCAAATAAGAGATAATTTTTTTTCTTTTTGCTGTTGTAGAATTGTAATGGGATTAGACATATAATTTAGCAGATTAAGAAAAAGTCCAATTGTTTTGCAATCATCTGAAATTACTTGGAGAAATACAACTCAGAGTATATTTCAAATATTTCATACAAAAAGACTGTACAAAAATTATGGACTTTATTATACATTAAAAAATCTTCTAACAACATATTTCCTGAAGTCTTGTCAGAAAATACTTACTTTGACAAAATGAAAAAATAAGTTCACCCCACATGTATACCATGATCACATAAAACTTGAGTTCTTCAAATTCAATTCTAAAACAAAATGTTGCATGATTTTTAATTGTACATTGTGTGATTAATAGTATCAGTGAAATAAGAATTAACCAATTCACTTACATTACAAAATCACCAAATATACAAAGCAATTTTGCACATTAGTTATAACTTAATCCCCAGTTCTCATATTAACTGAAGTAAATTACTTAATGAGTATAGCCACAAGAGATTGGTTAAAAAGTATATGGTTCCAGTTTCAAATCTTTATGCATTAATTAATGTAGAACAAAATTTCATGGATGAATAAACCAAACTGCTAAAAATAAAATTAACAGCTTACTTGCTACAATTAGTGTGTTTAAATATTTAAAATACATTCTGAATTCTAGGAGGTTGGAAGGTTTTGCTCTTAGGGTCTTTCAGCATGTACATGTATATTATGATTCAGATTTCATTTTATTTTTTATTTTTTTATTTATTTTGAGACAGAGTCTCACTTTGTCAACCTTGGTAGAGTGCTGTGGTGTCAAAGCTCACAGCAACCTCCAACTCCTGGGCTCAAGCGAGTCTCCTGCCTCCGCCTCCCAAGTAGCTGGGACCAC